CAGCAGAACAGTATGTCAAAAAATTTGGTCTTCAACAAGATGCATGATTTTGATTTGTCCTATTTCTGAGCAAGAGAGATTTCAGTGTAAAGCAGAATGGGATCAAGTTGTGGAAGAAAGGAATGAATTTGATATCACTGATTTGAAATGTGATGAAATGGTTGACAAAGTATGTAATATTGAAAAACATCCAGGGGGAAGTATCTAAGCAACAAATATGTTGAGATCATTGAACATAATGCAGAGACAGGTTTTTAATAAGATTCATAACCGGAGCTTAGAGAGCATTAATGGTAAAAATCCTGAACCGTTTCATGTGTTTGTGAAAGGTGGAGCTGGAACTGGTAAAAGTCACTTGATAAAGTCAGTTTATTATGAAGCAACAAGACTTTTTGCTAGAATGATTCATGATCCAGACAATGTATCAGTGTTGATAGTTGACAGGAGTTGCTGCATTTAATGTCAATGGTAGTACAATTCACAGTGCTCATTCAATTTCTACTGATGCTACTTGTAGATTACCATATCAACCACTTGGTAAAGAGAAATTGAATACACTAAGGAATGTGTTGCAAGATCTTCAAATTTTGATAATAGAGGAAATATCAATGGTTGATCACAAGATTCTGTGTTATATACATGGACGTTTGCAACAGATAAAACAATCACGCAGTTACAATGCTTTGGTAACATCAGTATTTTAGCTGTTGGGGATTTTTATCAGTTACCTCCAGTGAAAGGAAAAGCTTTGTATCAATGAGTGATCTCTGGTGATCTGTGGAACGACGTTTTTAAGAAAGTAGACCTGATTGAAATCATCCGACAAAAAGATGACGTAGAGTTTGCTGAATTACTGAATGGGTTGCGAGTGAAAAGTAAGAAAGAAAAGTTATCTGAAGATGATATCACACTATTGAAATCTCGTCAGATCGAAGAAAATTGTAATGATGGATTGCACATCTTCCCATGTAACAAGTAAGTAGATGAATACAACGGCAAACACTCTTTGAAAAATGCACTGATTGTGTGTCTATTCTTGTCAAGGATTTTCAAAAAGATGGAAGGTAATGAAAAACGAAGTGTGAAAGTGGTGAAGAAATCAACATACACAAATTTGGCAGAGTGTCTGTAGTGAGGTGTCAGTGCAAGTTTAAAAAATAATTAAAAAATGACATGATTTTGTGTACTGGTACTGTTATCTACTTACCAACCAATTTTCATGACAACTGAACCTTCCTTTTATGCAGGTTTCAAAAAAACCTTCATTTTTCCAAATTTTGTACATTTACGCATTGCTCAACGAACCTAATACACAAAAAAATTAATATATCACATTGCGTTAGTGACATATTGCAAAATTTGAAAATATATTCAAAAGTTTAAAATTATTTATTAAATCGCAAGATGATGTCACAGTGATGTCATCTCAAATTTCATCTAGAACACATCCCGGTCTAATAACACAACAAGTTCCAACCAAATTGGACATACTGTTTTGTAGATGTAGGGCTCTGAAATAATGGACTTTGTGATGACGTCATATGACCTACATGACGTCATCATGACGTCACTCTTCAACATACATCTATGCAATAATGACTATGCCTATGCCAACTTTAAATGCTGAGCGACAAAGATTAATGGCAAAAGTGCTGCAAAGAAAAACGTGTGCCAAGTCTATGGGCTTTTGACTCAAAAAGAACAACCCCCCCAAAATCCTGACGAACAGAAAGGCTTTTTCGCAAAAATTAAAAAAAAAAACCAAAAAAACCAAAAAACGAAAAAGGAAAAATCATTTACAAGAACAAAAGCTGTTTCAGCTAAAAAAAAAACAATTTTATGAAAAACAAAGGCTAAAATAGCTACAAATCCAACACAAGACTTCAGTTTGAGTCATCAGTATGAAACTGCTTGCGTTGCATGCATGCTGAATGCACATGGCACACACACACTGTACGCACTACGGCGATCACGCAAACCCAGTTTTTAGGTGAATGTTGGACATCTCATACCAGGGACAACTCGCACCCTGAACATCTTGTACCCGTGACAATTTGTGCCCAGAACAACTCGAACCCAGAAGAACTCATACCTGGGACATGTTGTACCCAGGACAATTCATATGTGGGACAACTCGTAACCCACAAGAAAAATACATTTTTATTATACATGTAGCTTGTGGCGACATCACGTCAGAATTATCGTATAACATATCCAATGTAGTTTTCGATTGCTGATAATGCAGCCATCTGTTTTGTGTGTCATCGGTTTTTCTTCAGTTAGCACTTGAAATACCTTAGCCTTATTGAAATTGTTGAGTGGTAACATGAGCCTGCAAGGAAGGCATATGCTTCAGAAATTGCAGTGCGTGGTGTGGAACAGGTTGGAATGAAAAATGGTGCAGCATCTTTAGAACCACTGTTAGCAGGCACTGTAAAGGGCTTTACTAGGCTTGTTCGTGATTGCCACTAATTTCTAAAAAAAAAAAAAAAAAGGAAAAAAAAAAACTCTTATTAACCAGCAGTGAAAAGGGCTTTTCTTGTCTTGTTTGCGATTGACACAAATTTCTGAAACTTGACTAGTGCAGGACCACCGATTTGCAAATGGTGAAAAGGCCTTACTCCCCTTGTTTATGATTCATACTAGTACAAGTTGTCACGGGTACGAAATGTCTCGATACCTTTCAGGCTAGCCTGAATGGTACCGCAGACAAATTCATGGACAATCCAATCGCTGACTCTTTCTGATAACCATGTGACCACAGAAAGTGTTGAAATCAGGAAACCCAAATGAAAAAAAACAACACCAAATTCTGTGGCACGTCACAGTGAACATGATTGGTGACAAGACAAAAGATAACATAAAGGTATACCATTGAAGCGGTTGATTTTTTTTTACGGTAGAAAGAAATCTTTAGGTCACAATAACAAAATCTTAGTAAAACGGTTATTTGTCTGTAAAAAGTACACCATGAAATTGAATAAAAAGTGGGAAAATAGTCACTAAAAACAGTTGCCACAGCAGAGCAAACAAAGTTTAAGATTAGGCCTATGTACACATTTCATACATGTGTTTTGTGACTCCATGACTTGGGAAATTCAGTTAATAACTTGAAATCCAGACAACTAAAATTTCCATTTATTCTCTGTATTTCGAATTTTCAGATGTAAACAGCAACCAACAAAAACATGACTGCGCCACCTGCACGTAGTATATGTGGCCTGGCTGCAATTTTTGTGACTGATTTTGTCCTACAAAGTTTGTCATATAAGCCGCCTGATGCATAAGCCGCAGAGACATATTTCAGTGAGCCACAGAGAAATTTTTCCTAGTGAGAATCAATGTATTAGCCGTGGCTTATATTCTGAAAATTACGGTAGTCGTATTTTTGGCCAAACCTCAAAAATCATGCAGAAACTGGACCTTTTTGTGAAGAAAAAATAGAACTTATAGTGCTGACTCTGCACGTATTCTTGTATCCGTTATTCATTGTTTTCATTTTTCCTTGAGCTGATCAGCGTTCTGATTTGGCTTATTTGCTGTGTTGTGAAGAGAAGACATTTCAGCAAGCATGGAATTAAATATTCCTTAAATGCATTTAGAAACAAGGTCACTACATGTACATGTATGTGACCGACACATAAGGCAATCAGCACCGACAAGTTTTTGAAGATACAATAAGTTTGTCGACTTTTATCACATTAGCCTGAACCTGAATCACAACTAGCCAGTGGCAAACATGGCGGCCCGCATGGCGAACCCCAAACGGTGAGTTCACCCCTTTGTGTCTCATTTCTAGTCAACCTAAACCCAACTTTATTACACACACGTTGTTGATATGGTTGATCCAGCTAATCTACGGTCATGCCTAGGGTGAGACTTTTCAGGCGATAACTGCACTTTTTCAGAGTTTGCAATCGTATTATCTTATTTTAGGCGTTAGCTTAAGGCACCGGGACCGTATGAAATTTCATTCTTGACTATGACTACAGAAAGAAAACTTAAGGGCAGAAAAATAATCCCGTCCTACGTCATGGTGTAACCTACATGACCTACCTTGCCATACATACTGACATAACTGAGCCTAAATTTTAACACTCTCAATGACTGAGATTGATAAATTATATATGTGTATAAGGGGAAAATGCACTTCCCAACGAGCATTTTGAAGTTACTTCTGAGGGGTCTTCTTGTTCTGGGCCTGACAGTTAGGCCTACACTTCATGAAACAGTACTAAAAGGTATCACTCGACAACAGTTACATACAGCTAAACTGTTGGGATAGCTTAAAAGTCAAATTAAAAGGCATTTTAGCGTTTAACCTTTCCAGCGACATAAATATGTTAACAGTACGCCTTCAATTTTATTTTTCCCAAAAACTTTGGGGAAAAGGATTTATTTTCATGCTAGGCGCTGTAGATGTTACGTTCATGTGTATTTTTTTGAAATAATCTTTGCCTACAGTAGCAACACCTATCTTGGGTCAGGTGATTTTTTTTAATTTCTGTTAATAAACATGACAAGATGGTAGTGTACACAGAAATGTGCAATTATGGAAACAGAAATGTAATCAGGTCTACACAATTTTTTGGCACTTGTGAAGTTTTTAGTTCTCTAACTTTCCAATTGTGGACTTGACAATGGAGAAATAAGAACACGCCTGGCACAGTAGGAGTGATTTGCAACTTATTCACTTAATCGCTTCTTGAAGTGGGAACTGACTTTTTAAATATCATTTGAGAGGTCATACTGCTATACATGTGAAGTTGTCCATGTATATATAACTCCTCAAACAATCACTTTTAGGGAGAGGCTTGCTAACTCTTGCTCTGACTTCTGGTGTTGTACTTAAATGGTGATGCTTCATGATTGTCTTCAGCCTCTGCAGGTCATCTCGCATACCATGGACGGCTTGGCTTGTTTGATTAAGCTCTGTGTGGATGAGTTTGCCACCCCATTCATTCAAGAAAACCGAAGCCAACCTTGCATCTCTGCAGCTGTTCAATAGCAAGGTCCTGACGTAAGTGAAGTTTCGGTGTTTCATCCGGGAACATTTGCCGATAAGTGTGCATGAATTCTTTGATGGAGATGTCTGGAATAGAGGGTAAAATATTTTGATAAGATATACATTTATGTGGGGGTAACATGGAAAACTGAAACAGTTCTGAGGGATACAAACCTGATCGAGTAATGTACTCTTCTTCAATTTGTTCTGCTTTGCTGATAGCATGATGTACATCAGCAAATTTCAGAAAGATGTTCTTGAAATTGCTATTACAGGTTGCTGCCTGACAAAGAAGGTGCATCTGTGCTGCAATTGGAATGTTCTCCACGTCTTTCAGGTACTCCTCAACCTTTCCTCTTGAAACTGATGCTAAGGCTTCTATAACTTCAAGCTAAGTGTCAGAAAAAGTTGATTTTAGAAATCATATCAAAGTTTACATAAAAGCAAAGTGCCATCCTTGAAGAGTGCTCAAATAGTGTGTACAATGTTCTTTTCTGTTGTTTATTGCAAGCAGTAATTTTTTGTGACAAATTATACTATCCATGTGCATTCTACACAATTTTAAGCCCTTGTTACCTTGCAGCACTTTTGAACGTGGTTGCCAACAAAGGCCTTCCCATGATAAGCCTGTCTATAGACCTTGAAAGCTGACAGCACAATCCAAGGAACCTGTTCCATAATTCAAAATAACCTCAATATGCGTCCTCTGGAAGAAACAATTGAGAATACTTGTCACAATCGGTGTATCATTAAGAACCAAGTATTTCTACTAACAAGCTTATTTAAGGAAACCTAACAACCCTCACCCTTCATTGATTAAAGAATTTTGGAATGTAAGGGTTAAAAATACAGAGGTTCCTTTGAAGTGAAGTCTCCACGGAGACTGAATTAATAGTAAAGCAACAGCAACAAGATCCTCACCGACACGTGAGAGTTGAAAGATCTGCAATTTCCCATAGCGTTGCAGATTGGCCAGAGACTCTACTCCTTCTAAGCAGAGGAATACCACTTTGTTGACAAGGGAGTTTGGGTGAAGAACATTGGCAATTTTGAAAATTCATTTTAAATGAATTTCCGCCTTCATTGCCTCCGATCTTCACCCACACCTCATTCTCAGGGATTAAGCCATCATGCCATGTGAGCAATTCTGCCTGGAAATAAAAGTAAAACATTTGAACCGGTTGTGGAAAGTCATGAATAACTAACTCATCAAAGAAGTGTCCTGCATGCTGGGTGATACCTAAATCAATGTAAATTAATTAACCTGGCCACAGCTGTACACACAATTTACCTGTCGAGCCGATCCACGTAGTCCGTTATCATGAAGGCCAGATCCTTCACATAAACAAAAGGAAAAGATCTGGTCTCAATGCCATCAATGGCTGCTGCAGCTGTACTGGGAAAAAAACAATTGGACAGTCTCTCCACAAAGATTATCCTTTAACCACTTCCTGCCGGGGCAGTTATCAATGTTGATGATGCTGGGCCATTATATATTTCTCATTTTTTTCTGTTTTCAAATTCTTTAAAAATTCCTATCTTCATTTACTGGACACTTACAAACATGTGAAGGACTGTCTGGTGTCCACTCTAGGCTGACAGACAAAATCTATTGACGCCTGAGTATTTCAGCCAGGCCTGCAGCCTTGTAAAAAGAGCCCAGATTGTGCGGTGTTATACAACTTTCTTTTGTTCACGATAGACTAGCAGCGCTGTGTGACTCATCGCTGCAGTGTTGGAGCGCTTTTGTCCCTGGTGGTAATCCGCTCACTCTAAATGCCCCAAACCATGGTATACTGTTTCAAAACAAGGCTGGATTATCTCTACTTTTGAGAGTGAAAAAATGTCGGTAATGCCCAGCAGCCTGGCCTTTTGTTCCGAGTACAGTCTTTTGTTACAAGGCCCTGTTCCCTTTGTCCAAGTTCGGACACCCAGGCCACGCATATAAAGCATACGTGTCCGGATCCGGAATCCCCTGCATGGGGTGGTTAACAGCCTGTCTTCTTGTTTTCTCATTTGCCGCTCAGATCAGATTGCAGTGTTGCTGGTGCTCTTCATGTAGCTGTAAAAACAAATATCTCTGTCTGTTGCATATAATGTACAACATTTCCATGTTACTTCTTTCTTGAAATATATGTTCATTTTTAAATATATGTACTGGAGCTTGTTTGAACATGCAATAGTGACTTGAGAAATGTGCAATATTTGAAGGCAGTCGTGTATTTTTTACACTGGAAAACATGAAATATCTTTCTGTTGTATATGAAGTACAAAACTACCAAACTTTCATGAAACTTGTTTTTAAAGCAAAATGTAAATTTTGAAATACATTTATAGCAGCCGGTTTGAATGAGCAATAATGACATTAGAAATGTGCATTATTTTAAGGAAGTCTTATATTTTTTACTCTTGAAAAAAATCTATTTAATGTTAAGGAGGAATGTGAAAAGCATGCAGCAAATATTTGTGGCACGATCACAAACTTCGGCATTTTCTCCTTTTTCCTCATAACGCATGCACTGTGAAATGAATCAAGTGACAATATCTACATGTAGGTTTACCTTCTGAATTCTCTCATTTGGTTCCACCCCACATGGCAATCTTTCATCATGGCTAGTGCATCATCTGCTGTCACGGTTCAGTTCTCGCCTGTGTTGCTTGGCAGGCAGCACATTTCATCAGCATGCTGATTTCAACAACCCCTTTGCTGATAACAAGTCTGAATTCTGATATTGTGGCAGTTCGCTGTTGCTTACATGCAGCTGTGATGTTGTAACTTAACTTCGATGGCACAGTAACTCTTTGAATGTGAGCAGGCTGGAAAACAAAAAGCATCATAATTACATGTACACATAAAATTATTACACTTTACCATCAAATTTGTGGATCCCACATGTAAATATTTCCTTCATCTCCCTAGCCATTACATGTACATCATGTAGAATATAATGTAGTCTGGGGTGTCACTTACATGACATGTTAACCATAACCTGCAGGGTTTGCTAAAAATAACATTAATTTGTTGGGAGAATTTTATGTAAATCAACTTAGATATACAGTATTTAGATGGACCATTGGCCACAAACACCAAGATTTGAAAAACAAACATGATATGCTCCTACTTATGATGCACACGGGCAACTTAAATGTGTTGCCTTTACTTACTCTGCCTCTAGTTCGTATTGGTGTGGCCTTCCCTGGGTGGGTGTTATTTAGCTTGTGCCACATCCACTTGTCTGTGGCTTCTTCGATTTCACTAGGAATTGGCTTTCCAGCTTCATGTAGTTCAGCCAGCTGTTTGAGTAAGCACGCTGCACTTGTTTCATCCAGACATGCAAATTGCTCTTTTGTAGGGCTTACATGCAATCGGTTGGGTGGAGCCACTTCACTTCTGACAATCATGGCTCTGTAACTGTTCAATTTTTCCAATACTGCTGCACTTGGTACAGATTACATTCAGATTTGCCAGCTGGAACTTTAGGACCTGGGACTTTCAGTTAAATCATGGAATCTGGTTTGATGATTGCAAATGGGACAATTTATTACCTCATTGCCTGCATGCCTGAACAGAGTGTCAGACATTTTGCACAGTAATTGTGCTGGCATGATGTTTTCACACACGGCTGTCTAATGATGCGGAGACAGATGCCACATGTGAAAAATGACTGCTCCCATTCATGGCCAATTATGTCAAATTCTGACGGATATTCAATGGTGCATGATTTCAGAGTTAAGTGCTGAAAAATGTTCTCCTCAGATAGTGAAAAGGGAAGGGGCAAAGAAAGGCCAGCTGCTTGTGCTGCTTGTGGTCTTCCACGCTTGGGTTTACTCTGCGGTCCTCTAGCAGTCTCTTTCTTGTGAAAATCACATACAAAACATCTGCCATTTTGCTGCTTGATCCACGTAGAGTGATTTTAATTCTGTTTGCACAAACTGTGCAGATTTTACCAAGTGTGTCCTGATGAAATTGGAAACTCATGACTTTTGTAAAACATTGAAGGATAACCTAAATAAAACAACAGGTTCGAGCAAAAGAATCCTTGTGTTATGTTTTTGTTTTGCCCACATTTCCCGAGGACATCCCTGGTATCCAGCGTTATGCACGTAAAGGCTTTGGTCTTCTACGGAACCAACAATGTATGCAACGATAGGACCGTCTGCGCTGCTGTTTGCCCGGAGTTTGAGAATGTATTTTATAAGGCTGAAAACAAAGGCAAACAAAATGTCCTACACTTTTATTCAGCAGGAACCTGTGGCCTGTGGTGGTGGAATGCTGGGGAGCATCATACAGGTATTGCATATATACTTCCAGGCAATGTAGAGTCTACCAGCAAACCGTGGAATAAGTGTTCGCGTCTCATGGAATACTAGAAAATGTGCAACTGTGAAAGGATGCAAAAAGTAACTGTAAAGTACACAATCCCTGCTCTGGGATGTTGTCTCTCGTCTTGTGATTTTTTTGCATTATATGAAAAGGGCTTTAAATGAATTTTTCTTTTTATTTGGATTGGATAAATTGCAGAAGGATAAAATATGTATTTAATTAAATGTATTTAATTGGAGGTGGCAAACTATGTGCCTATCTAGAAATGCATTAATTTTTGAACTGCGAGGTGTCAGGGCACTTGTGTGGGATCAGGTGTGACCTGGTTTCTTGTCCATGATAAGCAAAAAAAATTAGGAAAGTAAACAACATTGTGTTACTTGCTCCAGAAATTCAAAGGAGTGTTAATTAGTGGTTTCCCTCTTGGATGATCAGGCCATGGGGTTGTATGGTGCGGAGGGGTTTGATCCAATGCTTCTCCCTGTTGAAGCAAAGAGAATCTATGCCTTGTAAGATCTTGTCAGACATAGAATGGTTAGGAAGGTTGAAGTGATGGCCTACAGGGTTATCATTTGGTGCTGACCATAGATCTGGGCCCACAGAAATGCTTCTTGAGAGTTTTGTTCTTTTTATGAAAATACAAGTCAAGTAACCAAGTCTTAGTGACTACGGTCACTGTTGGATATAATAAATTTACACCAGAAACTTTTAAATAGGAAAAAGGAAGACACAAAACCAAAGTTTTGAGCCGATGGCAAAGAGAGGTTGACCAAGAAAAGAGAGAGAAATGACAACCAAACCCTCCTGGAACTGGTATGGAAGACATAAAAACACAGTGAACACTCCGACGTTACAAACCTCACAAATAACTCGGCCAACTGCTGAAATGGCCAGAAGTGGGCAGTATGTGGTCAATGAACAGTGACCCCAGGTGGAACCACCAACTCTCCTGGCTCTTCCACTGAGGACTACAGCACCAGGTATTGTCTATCATTTAGCACCAACCACACAAGAACCATCAGATGGCCCAAACCAGACTGGGTCCACCAGGACCATGGCTTGAGTACAGCTAACACCAACGTCAACATAGCAACTTCGGTTCTTCTGGATGGCATGGGACTGGACTTATGCAAACAGCACACCACCACCATTGCGGTTTTTGGTCACGTCTCAATAGTCAGTATTGTGAAGAGTGAAAGATTTCAGATTCGAATAATTCATTACATGGATGATTTTCATCGAATCAGGGCTCCATGGGGTGCAAGCCCAACTTCATGCCTCTCACTCATAAGAAAATTTAAAGCAGTGTGCAACTTCCTTGGAGTTCTCGAGCAGAAGAAAAATGCAAAGGTCCAACAATTAAACCTACATTTTTTTGATCTAGCTTGGGTTGCAGCAGACCAAATTGCCCAGACTCAGCAAAAAGTAAGCAAGGTATTAGGAAGATGTTCACTAACCCTTAAAGAAATACAGTCACTGTTGGAGCTCCTGAAGTTTCTGTATGGGGCACTTAAGACCAGGCAGGGTTTTTCTTCACTACCTCATGGATATAACAAAAAGTAAATCAGATGTTATTCAACAAATACCACTTAGTGAAGGAGTCATCCTTGACCTGTCAATGTGACAGTCGTTCCTCACAGAGCATAATGGGGTCTCAATCTTCAGCAAAGGACAGCCATTGGATGTAGCAGGATGCAAGTAGAGAAATAGGATACAGCGCCTATTATCAGGGCTGTTAGTTCAATGGCAAATGTCCAACTAATGTGAGAGGAGATTATTCTCACACCTGGAAAGAAATACTGCCTATCACTGCAGCAGTGGAGTGTAGGGTAGAGATATGAAAGGGAACCCTTTTCTCATCCATAACACAAACAGATAACATGTCAGTTAAATCCATTATCAACAACCACAAATCAAGCTGTACAAACATCAATGTTTAGTGCACAAGCTAGTGCCAGCATGCATCAATATCCCTTTCAAAGTAATATACATTAATACCAAAAACAAGACACATTAAAGACTCGTTTGCTTGATTTCAGACTAGGAGATTCAGGGTTCATGCACCCTCAGCCAAGCACACGCTAATCCTTGTTTGGAGAGCAAAGGATCAAGAGAGTCTGTTCCATGGAAAACAAAACCTAGCATCATCCCGAACAGTGGTCACATGAGTCAGAAAGGTATAACGACTCTCCAGGACTTCTCAAGCGAGACTATATAATTCAATTCTCCTCAAGACATGATAATAATTCACTTAGGGTCTAAAGAATTGAAAAAAATTGCTTGCTCTGTAAAGCCAGCAAGTGATAGAGACAGCATTTGTATCTTCAATTGGCATATTGCCACATATGCATCTTTTATGGTCTGTAATTGTAAACAAGTTATTCTACTCTGGCTACAAACAATAGAGGTAGCCATGGATAATCTCTGCAAATTGTTGAACAAGTTCGCTATAAAGTGCTGCGGCTCTCAAACATGTTATTCATTAACCGTAGTTTTGATACCTTCGGACACAAATACTTAAATTGGGACAACAACCATCTGTCAGGTGCAGGCTCTGACATGCTCATTGCTGAGTTCATGGGTTATCTATTGCTCAGGCTTTATTTGAAGCACAACACTTCAGAGCCTCTTCAGTAATGCCAGAATTTGAAGACAAAAAAGTGGAGTGTTGTTTCCTCTTTGCAGAGCATTGCGAAGTGGTCTGGTTTTGTTGTGGGGCTGGGAAGGCAGGACACTGGGGAACTTATGGTGCTCTCAGTGGAGTAACCATCCGGCCAACATTGACCAACTGCTATAATGAACATGACAGTGTCCACACAAAATGTTTGGTATAGTGGTCATTTGGTATAGCGATTATTCAGTCAGAAATGGACATAACTGTTCTGAACTCCAGCCCATGCAAATGTATAATGGTATACCCCACAAAATGTTTTGTATGCAAATTTTTGGGAAACCCTCACACACCAAAATAAAGTAAAAAGAAAAAACAAAATTCCTGCATTTTGTCACATGGATGTTCAATTCCCTCCATGTTTCACCTTTAGGGTAAAACGGTGAAATGAAAACATAGTTTTACTTGAGTCATATCACTTAAAAATTGTATGCCACATGTTGGGGAGACCCAGGAAAAGTGAGCCATTTTTAAAATTTTGGCCAGACATTTTATGTTTGTGAGTCAGGAGGAAACATGTCCATTCATATTAACCACTTGCTACCAGGTAGTTTGAAAAATGCAGTGCACATAATCAGGAATTTTTCAAGATTTTCAGTTTTGAAAAATTATTTCATTTAATGGACCTTAACACCCACAGGAATAACTGTCTGGTGGCCACTATAGCCTGACAGACAAAATCTATTGACGCCTGAGTATTTCAGTCAGACCTAAAGCCTTATAAAAAGAGCCCAGATTGTCGGTGTTATGCCAGGTTCTTTTGTTCACGAACCTGGCACAGTGCGCTGCTGACCTCTTTTCAATAGGGGCCAGATTGGCATGCAGCTGTGGTGTGTGGCTCATCGATGCAGTGGTGCAGTGCTTTTGCCCCAGTGGTAGTCTGCTAGCACTAAATGCCCAAAATTGTGGTATACTGTTTCAAAATAAGGCTGGATTCTATTGAGAGTGGAAAAATGTCTGTAATGCCCAGCAGCCTGGTCTTCTGTTCCGAGTATGGTCCTTTGTTACCAGGCCCAGTTCCCTTTGTCCGATTTTGGGAAGCATATAAACACACGGTGCCCAAAACTGGAGTTCCCAACGGCAAGTGGTTAAAGTACATCTATTATGTTACTATATGGTTAGGGCATGTTTCTCCAGATGTTGCATATTGCATCAGTATTTCACTCAAAAAAGTTGTCAAGTATGTTGCACAAGTCTCCTCCAAGGTGGGTAGAGTTGAGTGTATCCCAAAGGAGAGTTTTACCACGGTGAAAATAAGAAGCCCAAGCCATGCTTAGCTTGTTAATGGCCTAGAGCAAACTGTAGGTGTGAAAGTCATGCGTGGATCAAGGGTCAACATTTTTCGAATGACATTTGCAGACAGTAGGCCCTATGGAATGGGTGTTTCTTATCCTGAACATCTTTGACAAGTCAGTGGCTGGTTAAAACATGGGTAATAGGGATACCAGCATGCACAAATTACAATATTACAGATCACATAGATACCTTCAAAATTGCTTCTCTGAGAAATTATTAATCGCGTGTTTATGGAATCAGGTGATCAGAATACTTATTCCAAAGATTGACGTTCAGATGATGTTTAGATGTAATCATACGTTTTAGTAAAAAAGAATACTTATAATGTTTAAATTCCAAGCGACAGGGGGTCTAGAAAAATAATTCATAAGCAATCATCAATTTAATTGATCTGACTGATCAATTTAACTGATCAACCCTCCTTATGATCAGTGGCTAAACTTCCTTAGGTCGGCCATTTGGACATGTGACCTAATTGCCATTACAGCAGTTGGATCAAATTCAATCAAAATCACCATAAAGAAATTGTAATAGGTTACATATTGCAAACATTACTATGAAGGTTATTGCTTGTATGTAAGTAATAGAAAGGTTAGCTTTTTTGTACACTTTGTATGGAGCTGCTTTGCACCTGCCTGCTTTAACTAAAAGGAAAGTTATGTAACACACTACCAACACAGGGCATTTGGGCTTCACCACTCTATTGCAATAATTTTAGGGAGTGGCTCAACTCTCCTGGATCTTCCCTTGTGTGGTTACACTGGTTCCCATTGGCAATACCTTGGAAACATTGTTTCTTTACTTTGTTGGATGCAAAACAAAAGTAAAACTACAATATTTTCAGTTGATTAAACTTACACAAAAACGAGCCCTTAAGGCAAGTAATTGTTTAACCTTATGGGAGAAAGACTTTGGTTTGACAAACTTAAACTTAATGTTGCTGTTTGTAATAATAAAAGAACCAAGTATATATAGGCAGATTAATATATACTTATATCAAGTCAAGATAACAGTTAATTGTATCAAAAACAGCAGTGGCACATACATCTACTTATTTACACAGTGTGCACTGATCATGGTTTAACCACTAGCTGCCAGGTCAGACAGTCAGACAGACAAAATCTATCTCCACTATTGAAAGTAAAAAAATGTTGGTAATGCCCAGGAGTCTGGTCTTTTGTTACAAGGCCCAGTTCCCTTTGTCCGATTTCGAAGACCCTGGCCACGTGTATAAAGCATACGTGTCCAGTGCCGGAAACCCCGGTGGCAAGTGGTTAACTCACAGTGACGTTGTATAGTTGACTGAATGATTAAGTAGGACCAAGGTGCCCGGTTGAGAGAACAAATAAAACATCTTAGAGGCAAGGGAGAAGAAATTTTGTTATGGTATATCTTTTTTAAAAACAAAAGCAAAAACAGAAACAAAACAAACACAAAACACATCCCATCCCACCTCGCCTCATCCCAACCTACCCTACCCTAACAAACACAACCATTTGATTTCTTTACTTAAAAAAGGCTCCATTAAAAATAGCACTGCTAAATTAAACAAGAAAATCATACTGAACAAGTGAACAAGGCTGACATATGACTTCAATATGGATTTAAATGAAATGGCATTTTAAGGATTCCATCCCCACCTTATCATACCATCCATCTACTACTCTGCCCCTTCATCCCATCATCCACTTCCATCTCTTCCTTTATCCCCATCTGATCATCCTGTTTTCTACTCTGCTCCCATCCCATCATCCCATCCACCTCCTGCTTCACCCACTCCCATCATCCTATCCACTTCTCACTCCTCCTCCCATCCCATAAATCTCCTACTTCTCCCCATACCATTATCCTAAGCCATCTCTCACTCCAATCCCATTTTATCCATCTCCTATTCCACCTGCATCCCATCCATTTCCCACTCCTCCCACCATCCCATCCATCTCCTACTCTACCGGTACCCCCATACCATCATTAAAGCCATCTCTTACTCCACCCAGATTCCACCAATCTGCTCAGCCCCATAGCATCATCCCATACATCTCCCCCAGCATATTATCCCATCCATCTCCAACTTGCCCCCCCCCTCCAATCCATCTCCGGCTCTGCTAAAACCTATCAAAGAATCAATCTCCTACTTATTTCCTCCCATCAACCACCAAATCCCTACTCCTACTACTCTTACTTCATCACCCCAATCTGCTGGACTGCAGCCTGCACAGCATACAGAGCAATAGCCAGCAGCAGGCCAACACAGAAACCACTAATGTACGATGAATAGAATGTATGTGTGGTATGCACTAATCCTCCCATTGAGCCATGGCTGTAGCAGTTTACTGTCATCAATGCTTTAAAAGCTTTGACATTAGGGAGTTCAATTTTGTCATTAAAAATGTTGCTTAAACAATGCTACATGCCAATAATCAGGCCCACATAAAGTTCTGATACTGATAAACTCCAAATTGCAACAAACAAGCCCAAATGAAATACACTATTGCCCATAAACCCTTATTCTTAGCCTCCAGTACAGCTGCACAGCTCTACAATGCTTTATAAAATATTTTGGACACGTATTGGTAGGAACAGCAAGTGCGATATATACAAGTCTGAATGTCAGGTTTGGCTGGGGGCTTATATCTTGATGCTGAAATGCAGGTGTTCGTTCCTCAGTGTTGTTGATTTGAGTTACTGACTTGGACTCGAGTCAGACTCGAGTCACTATTTTTTAGACTTGACTTGGGGAAAAATGACTTGAGACTTGACTGAAAACAAAAGACTCGAGACTTGACTCGACTTGAAAAAAATGACTTGTTGACATTAAATCTTTTCTTAAAATAAATAAAAATACAAACTATTAAAAGAACCACGCGTGGCATCGTGTTGCGTTCCTCCACTGGCACCACCGCACATCATGCATATATCATGCATACATCATGCATGGCGCGTGTGAGCTGTATGAAGTTTGTTTTTTGAAAAAAAAAATTCATTGGTTAGATGCCAATAGTATGATTTCTCTTCTCGCACTGCGATCATGCGCATGCGCACCAAACATTATTAATATAACTGGTTCCCGCACGCACGTAGGTAACGATGACAGCAGGAACCAATTTTGTTCCTTGCCCAACACATGGCGGCTGAACACCATGTCTACTCCGAAAGTGGTGATTTTTGGGTTCCAAAATTTTGAAACTTCGACAAGAAAAAGAAGTGCGGTGTGTACGACATGTAGCATAAAGGTGATTGAGACCTCGTCCACGACATCAAATTTTGTGAGACACCTCAAAACCCATCCTGTTAAGAAGTTGTAAATCTAGAATTTTTTTAACGAAATAGTTTTAATGTGTTTAGTATTAGAATTAGACTAAGCATGCACAAAGCACTTAGGCCTAGTCCTTCACAAAGTTTTTGTATACCTCTCTGGAATGTCAGTGTCTTGGTGAATGACAGTCTAAAGCAATTGTGACACCTGGTATGCGGTCATTTATGGGAAAAAAGTAACTAGATTTTCACTACTGCCTGAAACTTACACAATTTTCTCAGTTTACATTTAATTTGCTATTGGGTATATGCCCATGGACAGGTGCAAGCTGATTAGCCTTGTTTGAAACTGATTTGAGTTGAGTTAACATTTCATGGTCAGGTGATTGTTTGTACTTTGTGCATTCCCGAAAGGCGTCCTCCATAAAATAACCTCTTGGCCTAGTGAAACCACCCTATTGTGAATATTGTGCATGTTCAACCAACAAACTAATACTAAGACAGGCAAGCCATGTCATTTCATTTAAGGGCAGTCACTTTGAAGAGTGAAAGATACCACCAATAAAATACTGAACAAAACGCAGAAATTATAAACGGGTATCACTTTAGTTTTGATGTACATTATTTAGAAAAATTGACTCAAGACTTGCCTTGGAAAAAAATGACTTGAGACTTGACTTGCTAAAATTTGACTTGGGACTTGACTTAAGTTGGAAAAAAATGACTTGAGACTTGACTTGCTAAAATTTGACTTGGGACTTGACTTGACTTGGAAAAAAATGACTTGGTTACAACACTGTCATTCCTATTATCTTTGGCTTGAGGTTTTAAACCAAATCTTTCCTGGTTTCTAGTTTAGCCAGAGTGATACAGGATCTACATAGTACAAATTCTGAACTACACTACTGTTAAGGCATCCCCTATGCACACGGGAAGAAGATTTTGAATCAAATACATATGGATGCCTATAAGGCAAAACAAAGTAATAGTTATGCTTCCGGTTACCCACCCCAACCTAGCAAATCATGCTGAACCGAAATATTTTTATTGAAAAAGAAATAAAACTAAAAAATACTATTGCTGATCGTCATGCCGATGTGAAATCTCTGCTTTTTGTTGAGTATGCCAAATTTCATTTTCCACTTTTTTGCCACTGACAGGTTGGATTTTCCTTGTATATCTTTCACATAAAAGCGCCGATGTTCCTGTTTTTTTTCCTTCCTCCACCGATGCTATGTGATGGTCAAGCCAAACTTTGCATGTCCTCATTCAAACACCGAACAGTACTGGAGCTCCGTAATATACGTAACTGAATTCACTGTATATGTACACATATGGTATGTGTTAACAGTGATATGTGTCTGGGTGGTTCAAAGTGCAAGCCTTGTGTGTGTAAACAGCATCCTGGGACCATGCAGTCATAGTCTTGTGATAAGCTGCCAATGAAACATATTCCTACATGTGTCTGTGGGACTTATTACAGCCCTACCGGAGTGAGTGGAAGTAGTGACTAATAATCTCCACGATAACTCATGGTAGCACACATTTCACTGGGAATTTACAGTTTGAAATAAGGTCAGTATATTTTAACTTTCGCCGAACGGTGATAGAAGCTTTCGTGACAACTGGCCCAAGGCACGCAAAGTAAGTGCTTTATGTGCATAGTTTTGCACTAGCTTTCGAACAACTTGTGGACATTAACTAATTGAAATGTCACTGTAACACGAATGTATTATTGACCAAAGAGGCTGTGACTTGGATACAATCTTTGACATGACCGATCCTCAAAAAAAACCCAAACAGTGGATGGCATACACTGCTGACCATCAAAATCACTTTTTTATAAAAAAAAAAAAATGTTCTCACCGTAAAATTTTTGACCCAGAAAACTTTTGTTTTTCAATGTAATAGGAAGCACAACCATTATACCTGAATGGATTTTCCAAGATGATAGAAGAACTTTTTAACAGCTTCAATCTTCCACTGGGAACAAGACCTGAAAGACAAAATTGTGCACATCAGTCGATGACCATGTTTCAAGGTTTTGCGATGGACAGGGGCTACTTGATTCAGCTTGTATCATTTCCTGGTTTGGGGAGACAATACATCCAGCCAAACCTATGAAACAACCCCCCTTCCCCCAAAAATAGAACCAACAAAAACAAAAACCTGGATGATTTTGGGCAAACAAAAGGCTGTTCTGGTGGGATTTAAACCCATGCGTCAAAGCCACTGTGCACTAGACTGATTCCAAGAGGCTTTAGTGCTGGAGTTTGGCTGGCAGGATTAAAACATTATCTTAAAATATTATTTAAAACAATTAAAGATTTACAAATGTTGAATTGTAAAGATCTGACATATGGACATTATATATGAAGCTAACTGAATGCTCAGAGCATGAACACTTTCTTGCAGAGGTAACATTACTTTGGACAAAGTTTGAAATTTATTAGTGCGTCACTTGTAACATATTTACAAGAGAATGTTGAATGCTTCCTACTCTACTCTAACCAAAATAAGAAACACATAATATATAAAAGTCAAGGATTTAATAGTCAGGAAGACAAAATGCTATTCACCCTCAGAGAGGTACTCATGATACAGCTCTGCAAAGTAAGGATGGCAATGATGAACAGTGGAAATTAAGTTTAAGTTAAAATATATGACACATTAAAGAAAGCATGCATATAAAAATATTTTATATCCGGAGGTATCTATCGCTTGTGTATGCACTGCATGCACACTTCATGTTGTGTGCCAATTATATTGCACAGTGCAAAGTACATGGCTGTGAATCACACATGAACATTATTTGGACTGCTACCAAAAGAGTTTGGGTCAACTCATGCCTGTGTTAACTCAAACAAACCAAACGTGGAAAGATATGGTTCCAGTCATTCTTGAGGTTGCTGGTTCATCAAGCTATCATCTTCACAGAGAGGCTGTATCTAGTGAAATAGCCCATATCTATGTTAAATCATCTACATCCAGAGTCAGTTTGATTGACATACCTGTTATATTAATAGAAATGTTCCCAGATAGCAAATTTGGGATTCACAATTTGAGCATGAAACATGCAACCTGAATCATGTCTTCATGGATTTACATCAAAGCAAAAGCGCCCTCACTTGTACAGAAATGCTTGGTCAATTTTTAATGCTTGAAAAAGTGCAGTGTTCAGTTCACGTAACTAATAAAAAGATGTCAAACAGTCTTCATACATGGAAGAAGAGTACAGAGACACACAAAGAGTGATTCTAAGAAATACTTGTTTCCTGGATCCTTTAAGTCATGTAAATTTCATGCCTGAGTGACTGGCTGGATTCCGCAGTAGTGCTATTGTTTGGGTGTGGTCACTTGCCTTGTCGAGTTCATGGGGTGAACAAAAATGTATGCCTTGTAGAGTTCAGGCAGTGAACAAATGTGTATGCTAATGTATGCAGTACATGTATAGTGGCTAGGTAGCCAAGGGAATTAGTGCTGTCACCTTTAGTGAGTTTAATTTATATATTTCATTTAGATAATGTGATCATTATGACACAGTCATTCTTTAGAAAACATGCAAGCAATATTTATGCCAGTCAAACTATTTGTACTGACCTTCAAAATTTAAGCTGTTTGTGTAATCATGGTACATACATGTGAATCGAAGTAATGCTCTTTGCCCTTATGGTACTGCATGTTCAATTAGCCTCACCCTACCAATTTGAGATTGATAAATGGGGTGCATTCTATTCTAACAATTTATTTACCAATCATGTGTGCCTGTATTACATAGAGTAAAGCGATAGTAAGTTTTGTTGATTTTATCATTTCTTACAGCTAATCGGTTCACTTCAGGTTGTCAAGTTTGATGATGGAGAACACGTAATTTAACTGCGTCAGCAACATCAGAAATTTGGACTTTGGCTGGTCAGTCATCTTACCACTGTAAGACTCTGACATTTTTAAGTGGTAAAGAGGGATATAATTCGTCTCTTTCCATCTGTAGCTTTGATTGGAAACTCCCTCTTCCATCTGTTTCACATCGGACTAGCCTTTGCAGCTGTAACAAATTACAATGCTGTGTGCACATTGCAGCTTGTAAGATTAGGTTCTCTGTTTCAAGCAACCTTGCAATTACTCAACTGCTCAAGGGCATTTTTCCTAAACATAAAGTTATCCCAGGTTGAGAAAGAGGTCCTGTTTATCCTGCATAGCAATCCCTGTGAACTTCTAAGGGGCATAATTCCTTGCAAGAATTGCTATTCAAGGTAGCTTTTCTCCTGGCTGTAGTGACAGCTAACAGATGGACTGAGCTCTGAGTGTTGGCCGTGTAAAAAGGGCATGTGAGATGGGAAATTTATTTTGTCTTATTTAGCAAATTCTTTTTTATGAAGAACAAGTCACTTCGCTTCCAATCACTGGATTTTTCATAACCGAAATAAATTATTGTCCTCAGTTCAAGAAGATAATGAATGGTGTCCAATTTGATTTATGAGGTGGTATATCTCCTACAGCCATATCTGGTGTAAGAAGTCTTGATTCTTCTCAGCATCTTCTTCATCAAGTTTCCCATGATACAAATCCCTTATGAAAGTTCATGCCAATGCCATAAGAGCCATAAATACACAATTGGCTTTACTGCAAGGTGTTTCATTTAGATATCTTTTGCAGGCAGTCCACTGGAAGGCAGTAGACACCATTTCACCTTCGTTGCGGAAGGATGGACTGGGATGTAATTTATTGCAACTTATCCTCATCACCTGTCTTGGTGCTATTCCATGCAATGGTAGGTCCAACTAACGAACTGAATTTAGGAGACAACCCTTGAACTATAGTGTTTGGTTGTCCATGAGAGGACAGCCCAAAGTAGGTTCCTGACTCGGTGTCCTCTTGAATTTAACACATGTTTAAGCATTCTTTAAAAATTGACACTGTGACATAATTTAAGTCAAAGAGATTGCAATTAACATGCCATACATTGCCCATATTCAGATTTCAACAGTCAACAAAAGAAACCAAATGACCATTTACAATGGTCATTGAAAAAGGGGAAAATAGATTTTTCATGCCATCAAGACTTGCCGTTAAAGTTGAAAATGCTGCAGAGTAGAATGAATGACAATGCTATAATAATAAATCATTTAGTCATCTCTTTACAAAATAGAATTTTCCAAATCTGAAAGACTGGTCAGACTAAAAAAAGTGTAACTGATCTGTTACATTTATATTAGATACTTCTTTGGTAAGTTTATGGATCTTTTAGAAAAATCTAACATATGACCCTGAAAATGCTTTCACATTATTTGACTTGGGAAAATGAATCAGAATATCAAAATGCATGGGTTAATGATAAAATGGAAATATAAAAACAGCATGATTGGCCTACCTAGATCGGTCTCAGAACCTGCATCATCTGTTTGTTCCAGATCTATAACAACCTTGTGACAAGAGCACACAAAGAAAGAAACAATAAATAAATAAGAATTCTATTCCATTTGTCTTCAGATAAAAAATACATAAATATTCAAACACTTGAGAGATCCAGTGAGTTTAAACCTCTGCCCTTAACCACTTCCTGCCAAGGCAGTTATCAATGTTGATGATGCTGGGGCAGGATATTTATCATTTTTTTCTGTTCTTATCTTCATTTACTGCACACTTATACCCACACAAAGAATTGTCGGATCTCCCCTCTAGCCTGACAGACAAAATCTATTGACGCCTGAGTATTTCAGCCAGGCCTGCTGCCTTGTAAAAAGAGCCCAGATTGTGCAGTGTTATCTAACTTTCTTTGTTCACGAACCTGCCACAGTGCTGTACTGACCTCTTTTCAGTAGGGGCCAGATTAGCATGCAGCCGTGCTGTGTGGCTCATCGCAGTGGTGGTGGAGTGCTTTTGTCCCCGGTGGTAATCTGCTTGCTCTAAATGCCCCAAACCGTGGTACACTGTTTCAAAACAAGGCTAGATTATCTCCACTTTTGAGTGAAAAAATGTTGGTAATTCCGCAGCCTGGTCTTGGTTCTGAGCACGGTCTTTTGTTACAAGGCCCTGTTCCCTTTGTCCGAGTTCGGAGACACCGACCACGCATATAAAGCATACGTGTTCAGATCTGGAATCCCTGGCAGGAAGTGGTTAATGAACCTTGAACTGGACAAAGAGAGGGCACAAGTTTCTTTACAACCAAGGATCCTTTGGTCGGAACTGAACTTCGCCGGTTCACTAAGTACAAAATGCACAGATTACGGTCGCATCACTACCAACTAAATGAGTACTCCTGATCAATAGGACTCTTTTCAAAGGAATGAAATCAGTTTCATCACTTGAACATGATAAGGAAAAAAACCACTTAACACTGTAACATCTGTAACTCAGTTCAAATGTTGACACAGGTCTTCCATCATAACTGTACAGCAAGCCCTCTTGTTTCCAAAAAAAGGGTACAATTACTTTCAGAGAAAAAATGATCAGTTCATAATCATTGGAGTTGAAATTAACCACAAGCTCTTGTGCAGTAACAGATTGGGAGAGGGGTGGAGGTTTGTACTCCAATTAAGGTACGAGTAAAATGGGGGCAAAATGATAAATGCTACACTTTCTAAATTTATTCTTGAATTGCCTTTGAATTGTTTAGAATGAATAAAAATCATTGAAGATTTCATTCTTTTCTCAAGGGCACATAAGGTCACTCCAGTCATCTTGGAGGAATAAGCTGCTTTTCACCCACACACATCCTTAACCATATGCTCCCAGGGAACCTGGTTTTAAGTACCTTGGGTTTGTATGCATAGACAGGGTTTCCCCAAAATCGGACAAAAGAGCTGGGCTTTGTAATGAAAGACCGTACTCAGGAAAAAAGACCTGCTGCTGGGAATTGCCATCATTTTCCTGCTTGTATTTATTGGAGGTAATCTGTCACTGTTTTGGAACAGTATACCACTGTTTTCAGCATAGCACAACAAAAGTGCTCCATCTCCCCATCGATGAACGATACAGTATCGCTGCACGCTAATCCAGCCGTTTTTGAAAAGGCACCACTGGCATTCACTGGGAATTAAGGAAATCATGTAACACCTCACAATTCTGGGCTCTTTTTACAAGGAGGCAGGCCTGGCTGAAACTCAGGCGTCAATGAAGGCTGCATGTGAGATTAAAGTAAACACCGAACAGTTATTTATTTGTATAAGTGTAAACATCCATTAAAAGAAATTATGAATTTTTGCAGAATTTTAAACACAGAAAATCTTGAAAATTGCCTGTATGTAGGCAATGCATTTTTAAAAGCACCCAGCAAGAAGTGGTTAAAAAAAAGTTTTCTTACCCAAAAATGAATCACGCCTTGTTCATCCAGGGATACCAACTGGAAAGAAAGCCCATTCATCTCTTCTGGATGGGAAAATACAAATGAATGACCAGGTAATACATGTATCTATTTATGAGTAATCAAAAGAGTTGCAAAATAAGCTGCGGGCAAACTGTGTGTCACTCATTTCAGGGCATTAAGTCCATTCCTAACATTGAAAACCTCATTCAGTGTTAAAGTTGGGATTATCAATCAGTCAGTCATCCAATGAATACTGAATCTGTTTGTTCCAAATGAATCGAAAAGAGAGCAGAAATATACGATGAGACAGTAAAAAGATTTACATACCACTTTGCTTGGCTAGACTGGTATCTGGCATAGATAATCTGTGATTATCCTCAGTGATCATAACTGGCTGGACTCTAACAACAGAACTTTCATGATTCTCATCCTTGTTTGCTCCATAAGTGGAAAAAGTAGGCACTTGTAAGAACAATGCTTCATCTTTAAGCATGTTCTGGTGCACACAGGGTGGTCCTCGTAAATCCCAGACTAAAATGGCACCATCAGCCTACACAGAGAGTAGTACAGTACAGAAAAGCATATTCCATAATACATATGCAAAAACTTAAATATTCTACATTATGTGAAAGATGGTAATATGTGAACAAATGATAAAATTTTTACTTCATGGCCATTATGGAAAATATATGTCTAAACATCTAAGCACTCTATCCAACCTATCAACTTAGGTGTCTATGACCCATGTTTTGAGGGTCAATTGTAACCATTTTAGAATGTTAATGTATGTAGTTCATGCAAATTAGTATCTGTCAACACAAAACTTTGACTCGTAACCTACTGAACTGTCCATGTTTTCAGGCTCAATTATTACACTGAAGTAGTTTCACAATGCCATTTGCATCTGCAAATTAGCATCCCCCATATTCAGAAACAACTTTTTCCATATACTAGTGCAACTATTTATGTACAAGACTGACTTCTAACAGGTTTCCCTCAGTAGCAAATTTGTTGTTGGGGTTACTGGTACAATGGAAGCCACAAATATGATGTACATTTTTAAAACCTGGAAAATTCCCAGATTAGTTACCTTAATTGGCTTCAATATCTCCGATCGTTTTTATCCCAACCAATCCATTTTATTTCATACAATCCTGAGGTGTGCGTAATTTGGGATTTATTATGATACTCTACAGTTCCAGTAGTAAGAAGACTCAAATCTGCGATAGTCAGGAGTTTATTTTGCAAACGAAAGTTACAAATGTAGATGATGCTGGGGCGGGATAATTATCATTTTTTTCTGTTTTCAAAATTCTTTAAAAATTCTTGTCTTCATTTACTGGACACGTACACCCACTTGAAGGACTGTCAGGTCCTACTTTAATCTGACAGACCACATTTATTGATGCTCGAGTGTTTCAGCCAGGCCTGCAGCCTTGTCAAACGAGCCCAGATTTTGCAGCGTTACATAATTTTCTTTTGTTCACGAAACTGGCACAGTGCGCTGCTGACCTCTTTTCAATAGGGGCCAGATTGACGTGCAGTGGGCACTTTGTGACTCATTGCTGCGGTGGTGGAGCACTTTTGTCCCCGGTGGTAATCCACTTGCGCTTAATCCCCAAACAGTGGTACACAGTTTCAAAACAAGGGTGGATTATCTCCATTGTTTAGAGTGAAAAAATGTCGGTAATGCCCAGCAGCCTGGTCTTTTGTTCCGAGTACGGTCTTTTGTTACAAGGCCCAGTTCCCTTTTTCCGATTTCAGGACCACAGCTACGCATATAAAGAATACGTGTCTGGTACAAGAAACCCTAGTGGCAAATGGTAAAGGACATAATCAGGAAAACAAAACTTCATGCAATTGATTGGTTATTTATTTCCTGTATTTTTCAGAAAGTTCTCCATATGTCGCTATTGACTGTCGTTCTATTTTTAAAAGCAAAAAGACTGAGTTTGCAACCACTGGGGGTATGCAAGTCAAGTCCTGGACAATATAGCGGCTTGGTAAAAATTTGTCAGCCCATATAGTTAAGTTACAGTCCTTGTTTTAAAATCACATCAATCCAACTTGCACAAAGGTGCACAAAATAAACTTTCTGATTTTTAGACCTTTGGACTATGTAACATTAGGACGATGCACCCAAATAATTGGATTTAAAAACCTTATTTTCATTTTGTCTTTTGACCAAACCAATGACTATAAGAAATGAGCGTCTTTAGACAGTGGGGCCTTTGGTCAATTTAGCGGCCCATCCACCCAAAAATCTGGATTTATAAATTTATGAATGTTTTATTTTTTTTTAATTTATGAATTAAACAGCTTCATTAGGACTAAAATGTTGGAGATGTTGATGCCGATGTAGGAAATGGTAAATTTAATTAATTTTGTTTTGCAAAACTTTTTCAATTGTGCATTACATTTGAGGCTTCCTTTGAACCAGTGTCCTTGACAACAATTTCACCACTGCTGGACACCTTCTTCAGATAACGTATGAATACCTGCTGGTGTACAAATGAAGGTCATATTTCTTATTATGGTGAACGTTGATTTGCACAGTAATTCCTAAAATCTGTAAACTCTCATTCTGAAAAATGTCAGAGACGTTGAAAGGTTACATTAAGGTAATGTTAATCTGTGCATTTTTTTGTATAACTAATTTAACAGTGACCCAAACATCAATACTGCAAGGACACCTTTTTTTCTGAGAGAGTGCAAAGCACTCATCAGCTAAAGAACAAGTAAAAAGGGGTACAATTTTGATATTTTTTCCCCTAAGCAAATTTGTGATTTTCATCTCCTTTCATTTCTATTGTTTTTTTTGGGGAGGGGGGCATTTTGTTCCACTTTATTCCCCTTTTTCCTATTTTTTCTGAGGGGGAAATAACAACATCCCCTCACAATGCTCATGGTGCAGACTCTAATGCAAGGCTCCATGGTCAATTGTGGAATACAGGTACTGGGTGTAACATGCATATCATATACAGAGATGTTTTTAAAGAAAATTTGAAAATTAGGCAATTCAAACAGCCTCCCACATACCACCAATTTTTAGAGCAGAATTAGAAAGCAATCCAGAATGGTGTGTTAACAAGCACAAGATGTCCCATCAAGCCACGCCTAAATCCACCACGTTAATTTGTGATCACAAAAAACCTATCCTTTCTGAAAAACATTCAATTGTTTAAAATATAAGAGCTTTAACCAGTAGAGTCTCAAATCAAAAGGCTTCTAGAACACAAAGACAAATCCACATACTAAGTTTGAAGTTGATACACTTAATTTGTACGGTAGGGTAAAAAATCATATCTATTCTTTTAGATATTGCATGGCCTTGACCTCTGACCTGTTGAGTTCAAAATTAATAGGCCTCTGACATGTCTGAAGGACAGTAAGCCAAACTCAAACAAGACAGAAGTTGGTATGCCCAGTCCTTGAGTTATGTGGGGAAATTACTAATTTTTTAGGGAACTGTGAGCATTATTTTAAGCAGGATTTTTATTTATGATTTTCTTAGCTGTTTCTCGATTTGCAACAAATAACCGTATGGGGAAAACCTTGTGTGCACCTTGTTTAGTCCACAAAAGGTCCTCACAATTTGTATAATGTGGACCTACATGTATCTTCTTCACAGGAAAACACAAAAATTGCAAAGTGGGAACAAACACATGGGAAAGACAACAGGAACTTTATGTAGTACGGCCCTTCAGCCAAGCTGGCGGGGCATCAAAATCATTATATTCCTCATTTAGATAACTTACTGTTCCTGCAAAGACAAATGTGGCTTTGATGGGGCTAAAGCAGCAACTCTTCACTTCAGATCTGCATGTTAGAATCCTGAAAGAAAAAGACTAAGGTCAGTATAGGAACCCTCTCCCAAAAGAGACCCCCCAAGTAATAATAATAATTTAAAAAAAGGCACAAGGTGGAATAATGATAACCAAAGGAACCACGCAATGGGATTGTTACGACTTGAATGCATGAAGCAAAGCTTTATTTACATGTTGTGACTTTCCGCCTCCTTTGTAGCATAAGAAAATACTTATGCCTTCGGTTTCCCAAAAGATCCTCATTTTTTCGGCATATCCTTTAAGTTTTTATCGGCTAGTTAGAAAAATTATTTATACAAAATAAATTGTGCTGTCTTTTCTGTCTTTACAAATCACTTCTGAGCAACTTTTTTCATGTTGAAACGTTTTTATGTATATGTTTTCCTGCTTACATTTGCAACTTTTGAAAAGAAACTTGAAAAAAAATGAAAATGGCGCCCCTCATAATCACATATGAATATTAATTTTTAATACCACAGGGATTAACTCAGGCAACTCTCCAATTACATTGTCTCTTTCCTGTGATGACATCATCGCTGAAAGTTTCCAGTCACCCCAGTTGCTTAGATTGCTTCATCAAAAAATACATATTTTTAAATGATTAATATATTCGTTTGAAAAGTGAATTTACAAAAGTTCAAATTGTTGACATATTTTTTAATAAAACGTTATTTTTCTCAGTATGTCTTGGAAAAAACGAAGATTGTGTTCAAACCAGATTTTTGGACAGAAATCTTCCTTCTTAAATTTAGTGAACAAGGGTGCATTCTTCATTGTTTTCATCATGGGAAGACAGCTATTTTTTTTTTTTTTGAGCCAGGAAAAGTCACCCATGAATAACATGATTTTGGCAACATTTTAACCTCAAATCGGATGTGACATAATGTGAACAAGTGTCTTGAAGAGTTAGAGAACTCCCTGGTTTGGAGCAAATGCTGCTTGTTTCATGAAAATATGAGACCGGGCTTATTTGTTTTTGTCGGAAATAAGAAACGTCCAAATCACGCCATGGCTACCATGCCCAGTCGTCTTGTATGCCTGGAAGGTAGCATCCGTAGGAAGAAAGCTGACACCGGCTCCAGTTGCGAAGCACCGGCCGCCGTGTGTGGTGGACTGCCACTGGGTTGAGCATGGGGCTCCACTTACTGTCCATAATGGTCGCTCTGTCAATGGCCATGCTGAATGCCGTGACCATGCAAGCCCTATGCTTACACCTCCAGGCCACATTTTACTACATGTACCTCTGTACCTGGATAATGTGATTGTTGTGGCAGCCAGATGTTTGGAGGAAAAGGTAAACTACATGTAGCTTAAATGATTTTCGTCAGCAAACATTTTTAAATGTGTGTGCTGAATCATCTGATAACATGTCATGCTCGTCGGTTAATACCTGTAATATGACTTGGGGGAAGACAGGTGAGACAGCTGATACAGCCAGCATTTCTTTATGCCAAACACGACAACCGTAAGGACAGTTTACCCTGATTTGTTTTGAATTGATTCTGACACATGAAACAATAATTAAATCTTTAAATAAGGAGAAATCTTGAATACGTAGTTCCAGTTGAGTGCTTCATGTTTTGAAGCCTCCAAATAAATGAGATATTGTCTTATCACGAAACGGGAGAAACATACATGTACGTGAACGTGCCTACTCTACAATGCACAAGTAAGCCTCTATTCAATTGCATGTGAACATAACCTTCCCAACCAAAAATAAGCAAACGAGACTGGCCAAACCTTCCCAGCAAATAAAATTTAGCCTGTTGGGCCCCCTAAGTCTCCAGTTTCTGGTCATCGTGCGTGTTGCCGTAGACCTACGCTTCGGCAAAATAAAGAATTTTTTTACTATGCATAAAATGATTTCCAAAAGCCGTCAAACTTACTTGATCGGCAGAAATTCTCCTACTGAGTAATTTTAATGTGTTTTCAATGGGTGGAGTTGAGTAATACGTATGGTGAAGGAATCCCCCTAGGCCTCTATACATTTCAGTTGGACACTCTCATCAGATGAAGTCATTCGTGTATCTTTACACAAAAGCCGTGTACAAATCTGTTGGCTGCGGCTTGATATTATGCACGATTCTACAGGATCTGGCCGTGGATGCTGCCAAATACTCGATGTAATTCTGGCCGTGGCCAATTAATTTGGGACCTGCATGTCTGTGAACCAGACAAACGAAGTGGTATTACGTCCTGCCCACTCATACAAATTGAAAACACTTTTAAGCAACAAACCATGAGGGGCCAGTCTATTTGAGTGTCGGTATGCGGTCAGGCAGTGGCGGTACATACGCGTGCAGTGCATGCAGTGGTGATGGACACTGCGGTATGGCCACCACACATGTAACAACTTATGCATCGTCACTTGCTAAGAACAAAGGTAGATTAGAGTGAGAGGAGATTTTATTTTCTGAGCTGAATTTTTCGCCAATATTTTATATGCAACTTGCTTCTTATGAGCTAAAACAAAAAGCAACGTGCACAGTATATCACTTAATTTATGAGAATTTCATTTTCATTTTGACTCTGGAGCTGAACTGTTTTGATTAATTTACTTCATAGGCTATTTGATGGGCAACTTGTTTCCTCTAAGCTAAAGAAGAAAACAATATGCAAAGAATGTCACCTCATGAGAATTTCATTTAAAACCGGACTGGAGCTGAACATTTTTTTTTCACATTTAATTTTTCCATGGTTGTGCTACGCCTTTTGTATGAGGAGATGACTGAAATCATCGCCTGTCATCATACTTTATGGTCTTTTTATTAAATAAAAGTTGTCAATTCACACTTCTCATAGCAAAAAGGCCATGCACTCTTAAGTATAGATGCATGCACATCACATCTATAGGAAAAAAAAAGAGGAGGGAAAAAAAAATGCATTATCGCACCACTTTTGGACAAAGCTCGTGTCCCAGAAACCAGAGTCTTTTTTGGAGGGGGCTTAGCGACAACAATGAAAATTTACATCAACTCTCTCACTACGACAAGAAATCAAATACGGCTCTGGAAAAATCCTGTTGGTGAATGAGAAAATTGTTGTTTGAAACTCATTTTTTTTGCATAGAAACAGTCTACGTGTAGTTACATAGCGATGTCACATCGCAGATGAATCATAATCCTTACGTGGTTTCAGGTTAAAAAACCTAATTACTTGCACACACGTTCAAACACAATGACCATGTACGCTATTATGCACGAACGAAAAACACTTCAGTATCTCAAATCGTGCTGAGGCTTAACAACCAAAAGCATTTATTTCAGGAACGGACAGGGCCTGATGAAGTAACCCTCTTCTTTTGATCACCATCACATTTAAAATGTGGGCTCACAGCAAGCCAACTTTTGACAGACCTCATAACAGTCACAGTATATAGACTTTGGACATACCCACTTTGAAGTAACCATGCACACAGACAGTGTCAGATGCCAGGGGGCGTATGAGTGTAATGGCTGCCTGGATAAAGAGCCTGATGGACAACCGTAATACATGTACAGTCAAAGACAGATAAGAAGAGTACTGATAAACAAAACACAACTGACAAACCTCGCCCTTAACACCACAAAGTAAAATGTCGTAATCTGGAAGCATAGATGTCGCGTGTAGACTGGCAAGGCCATTTCGACAGCTTCATCAGGAAGTCCTGCTGATCTGAAAGACTGTTTGACAATAGCCAATAGGTCAGGTGTAGTGATGTCAGATGAGGGTGAAGCATGCCCGACTTCGGCTGAGGTAGCAGATCCAGTGTCGGGAAGGATCACTGGTACCTGAATGAGAAGTCTTGTCAAACGAGGGAACCATGGCTGGCATGGCCAAAAGGGGCAATGAGAAGGACGCGGCAGCGTTCCCTCTCGATCTTGGAGAGAACAGTCGGTATTAGGGATATTGGAGGGAAGGCGTAGGACGACATCCCTTCGCAATTGATTTGAAGAGCGTTCATTGCCCAGGCTTGCGGGTGGTAAAACCTGGTGCAGAACACTTGCAGTTGGGCATTCTCTGCTGAGGCAAAAAGATCGATGTTCGTTTCTCTATTTCGGCAAAAATCTGTTCAACTACACTGGTGTACAATGTCCACTCCGTGGGACGTAAATAAATATGGAATATCTGTCTCGTCAGGAGGCATAGGCGGGGAGAATGTATGACTCCCTGGCAGTTTTCAAGATGTATTTTTTTTTTTTTTTTTTTT